TCAATTATATACTAAATATTTTTTTAAGAATTTCTTGTTAAAAAATTAGAAGATTTTTTGATTAATTTAAATAATTTTCTTTTACAAATCTCTCAAATTTGTAATTTTTCTTCTATATTGATATTTTGATATTTTGTAAATTATAACATAGAAAATTTAATTTATTCTTTGATTGATAACTATTTTAGTTCATAGTTTTCATCATGTTAATTTATTAAAAATTAATGTTATATATTTTAATTTTTAAAATCTTTATTTCTTCATTTATATCTCTTCAGAAAATATCAAAATTTTTATTAAATATTAAAATATTATAAATCATTTTTTAGAAGTAAAAACTTATGATTTTAACATAGGTGGTGCTACTTACCTTTTGTAGTTCATAATAATATTATTTTTTTAAAATGTTAAATATAGATAGATATTCCAATCAAAGATTTAAAACACTTGATAAAAGTAATCAAAAGAATATTTAAGAAATTAATTAATTTTTTTAATAATTTGTAGAGTTCAATAGTTTTTAAATTACCAAAAATTAATTTTTGAAATATACCTATTCATTCATAACTATAGTTTCTGTTTTTTCAAAATATTTTACTCCTAATTCAATTACTAAACACCGCTTTAAATGTTATAAAAAGTAGTCACAAAATTAATTTAATTTTATGGTGAAAATCTAATCAGGAGTTAACTGAACATAAACTAAATAAGAGAAAAAATATGTTGAGAGATTTATTTTCTATTATTTTATGTCATAAATTATAGATAAATTAATTTATCTAATTACTGCTCATTTTCGATAATATTTGATAAAACTTAAATAAATTTGTAAAAAATACTCGAAAATTTATTTTTTTTAATCTAAAAATCTTAGCCTAATAGCATTTTTATGCTTTGAGATTATTAAATACAATAGAATATTATAATTCTTATAAAATTTTAACTAAGATTAATTTTTCATATTGCTTATTTCATCTAATTTCAACTAAAGTACAATTATTATACTTGAAAAGAAAAGATGAATTGATAATAACTGATAAAAAATAAATTAAAATCCATAAGAGGATTAAAAATTGTTACTATCAAATAACAACTCTTTATCAATATTTCAAATTCAACAATTCAGACTTATTATTATAAAGATATTCAAAAATAATAAATCACATTTTTTTTATATTTTCAATAAAATTAATACTTATAAAAATACAAATTAATGGAAAGATCTAATCTTAATAAAATAGGATCACATAGAACTTTGGATAAATTATGGATTTCTGATTATATTAATTCTACTGTTATATTACAAAATTCTTTAGAATTAAAAGCTATTAAGAATTTACAAGATAAACCAAATTAAGATAGTAAAGAAATTTATGAAGTTTATTCAAATTTTTAAGAAAGCACCTAAATATAAGGAGACAATTATGAAACAAATGACCTCATTGAAAAATTTGATAATATTTCGAAGAATAATATTAGTAAAAATATTATTAAAGCTTTTTTTAGTTATATGCTTGATACAAAAGACAATGAATTTCTAACAGATTTTGTATTTAAAGGTAGTAAACCTTCTTAAGCTCGCAAGATGATTAAAAATTACTTTAAATCTTATGGCTTCAATAATAATTCTTTACTTAAGCTAATATAGCACCATAAATATGGGAAGGCTTTTGAATTTTATTTGACATTTGAAGCAGAAAGATGGCTAGTTGAGAGCAAAGTATGTTTAAAGGAAACTCATTTTATCTATATTGATTTTTTAAAACTTTGCTGCTCTAATCCAAAGTATTCTAACCACTTAGTTACATATAAAAAAAATAAAAAAAGTTTATATGATGATAGAATTTGACAAAAATTTAATTTTTAAATAATAATCGAGAGTTTGCTTTTTATTTATTTTTTTACATTTTAAATATAAATAAATATAATTTTATTAATCTTTATAAAATAAAAAATTAATTTACTTTTAAATTAAAAAAACTTTTCTTTATGTTCTTATTAAAAATATTAAATATTAAATTTAGTAAAATACCTTTTTACTTTTTTATAGATCATACTAAAAAATAAATATTTTTTATATTGAGATAAATTTAAAATTTTTATAAATTTCAATAAAATACATTATTTTTTTCTAAAAAAATAAAATTTTCTAGTTATAAGCAATCTTTAATAGTAATAATAAATTATTATTTCAAATATAAATATATTTATTGTAAGTAAAAGCAAAAAAAATGCT